GAGCCGTTGTGTGCATCTTGAGCCTCCACACCTCTTCGTTCAGTCAGAACCCTTGTTTCTCGTCCAATCAGAATCTGCATTCCGTGGAGCGGAATAAAAGGAGTGGGAGCGGAGAAATGGGGTGTGTGAAAGTTCTTCTTCTGATGTTCGTGATCAGCTTTGAAAAGGGGATTTGCGTCAACTGGAACCCCGTCCCACGCAAGACAGTTAAATATAATGGTGAGTATCTAATGACCAAACAAAACTGTGAGCGGAACTCCCAACAGTGACTGTGTAGCAAATGAGCCCACTTTCCTGTTCCCTTTTTTCTCACACTGTTTTTATGGGAACCCTCCTTTCTTTATTCGTCTGTCTCTTTCTTCTTTTCTTTAGTCGACCCCTCCCTTCATTCTCCATGTTGATTTGAGATAAGAGGTGTGATTTCTGCTTTGAATTCATCGAGATGTCACATTACTGCATGGTTTTATGGGTCTTCATGGTAAAGAGCTTACCTCCCTATTCATTTGCACTCACTTCATTTGTGTCTCTTCTTCCTTTCTCATACTGTTTTCTATGCCGCCTCTCTTATCCTTTACTCTTTTTTCTCTTATGCTTTCTCTAAGGGGAATTCACTTAGAACAAATTGTGCAATAGTCTTTTTACTCGTCATCAGTATTGTTGTCTTTTCCAAGAAAAAAACATCTAAGCATCCTCAGAAAATGCATTCACTTGAGTGCAAAATTGCTTAATATTACAAGACTTGTTTTCAGATAATATCATTTGAATTATGTGTACTTTCCTTTCCTCACGGGAATTTTTTATTTTTTTTATTTTTAGCATATGTCTAAAAACATTTAGCGAGGTTTATACTTAATGGGGTCATATGATGTTGCTAAAAAGAGCATTATTTTGTGTATTTGGTGTAATGAAATGTATTTATGTGGTTTAAGGTTAAAAAAACACATTATTTTCCACATACTGTACATTATTGTTTCTCCTCTATGCCCCGCCTTTCTGAAACGCATCGATTTTTACAAAGCTCATCGGTCTGAAAAGTGAGGTGTGCTGTGATTGGCCAGCTATCTTGTGATCGGAGAAATGACAAAAACTCACGTTTGAATCATCAGTGGCAAATCCTTTAAATATGAAAACGTACTTACAGACTGTGAGTCAGAACAGCCGGCATTGTAGTCTACTCTCCCAGGATCAGTAAACAGTCCTCCATAAAATGCACTGCGCACATCTGAATATTTGGGTTGAACTGTTCTGGAACAGTGTTGTAAATAAAACTTAACCACTGATTTCTAGTTGTGTCCTCTTTTGGAAGAAATTTTTAATTTTTATAAAGAGTAACTCTTTGGGTTTGAGACTTTAGTCTTTGCAACTTTAGGGATCTTATCTATTCACGAACAGCTTGTAACACTCCAAAGAGAAAGGAAAACTTGAAATCGCATCATATGACCCCTTTAATATAGGAGAAAAACAATTAATACACAATGTTGTTTCTCAAGTAAATCTGTGCTGTTTTAAGCATTTGAAGATGTTTTTGCACCAATATGAGACAAAAATACTGTCTAAGAGACTGATTCTTGTTGTGTATTTGCATTCGTTTTAGCAGTAATATCAGGTTAATGATGCAAACGCATTCTCAAAATTAACATTGATCGCAATTTGCACGCCAGTTGCAGGCCAGTTCAAAATAAAAGGTTTTTAAGACTGCAGCAGAGTGCTGTGATCTGGCATAATACGCTGAGACTGTAAAACATCACTACTGTAGTCCAGACATCTGAATCGGCTCTTTAAAATGCAGAAAGTGCACTAGTCTATACCACATGTCTGGATGTGTGCCCTGTTATAACACTCCTCTCCATCATTTGATGAATTACTTTTGTAAAGATCAATAGAGAATGTCATTCGTATGTTTTTTACGTAAAATGCGGTTCTACAAAATGTACATTTAATTACATTTGCACAGACACTGAGACACTGACACGTATTTACAGCATCTAAACATACAATACTGACGTATTGACGACACCTAAAACGTAAATTATGTACGTATGAACAACTTTACAGACTTACAAATGAATCCTTATGAATATTGAAATCGCGGCATTAACATTTTATTATATTGTATTTATTTTTCATATCAATGGCATTATGTTTTCAATTGCAATATTAAATGAAGTTTAATCATTTAATTAATATGAAATGATAACATTTCGTTCTGTTCTGTGAGAATGCATAATGTTAAACAAGACTACACTTTAAACCCTTCAAATGAATAACATCTCTGCAATCGTTTAACCATTACTTATCATGTAATATTTACTTTGTTTGCCGTGGGACACAAAAGACGTTTTCTCCGACATGATTTTACTGACAAGAGAACCATAAAATAGAATACACCAAAACATAATTACTAGGGGTATAACGGTACACAAACATGACGGTTCGGTACGTACCTCGGTTTAGATGTCATGGTTCGGTACAGTTTCGGTACAGCAGGGGGAAAAACTAAACATAAAATTGTTTTTTGTTTTTTAAACAGTGGTTTACCAAACAAATTGCTCTTTGTATCGTTACACCCCTAATAATTAGAAAAGGAATCAATTTTATTTGTTTGCTATAATCCAAATCTTCAGAATCCATACGGCTGCGAGGAACAGTCCCAAACTCAAGCCTTTATTCAGCGATCTTCATCCTGAGTAGCGACCATAAGCCGCAATAACCATGCTGACACACTTGTTACAAATTCAAAAGTTGCCGCTTTAAGATACATTACGGCAGGAAAATCGAACGTTCATTGGCTCTCGCCTGCTTCGTCACAGATTGCGACATGCTGTGTTTCTGGTGAGGTGTTTGAATGAGAAATGCACGCTTTCACGGAGTGGATCGGGATAATAAAAAAATATATAAAAAAATCTTACTAACCCTATACTTTTGAACAGTAGTTTACATTGAAAGGAGATATGTAACATAAATGACATGGCTTAAATTAAAGCTTAACGACTAGATTATTGGTAGTTAATGATAAGCTGCATGCAAAAGTGGCACCACTGTTTAGTAAATTTGCTCCTAAGTCTTTTCCTGTTTTAATCCAAATCACTCTTGATAATCAAATAAACAACTACAGGAAACACCAAGCAGTAGGCATGATTTTATATGTACACACATAAACTGATAGCATCTCCTTTTAAGCCCTCAGTAGAGAGCGTAGCGGCTGGGAACACAGCCTTAAATGGACAGGAAATGCTTTAGTTGAGCTCCAGCAAGAGAGAGAGAGAGAGACAGACGTCAACGAAAGTCCAGAAAGAACAGAAAAGTACACAGTGTGTATGCAGTGTGTTTTACTACTGTTTCAGGTCATGTGTGACTACGTTTGGGCCCTAAACCACAAAAACAGTAGACCTACGCTGCACACATGCGCTTTTCAGGGAGGGTTAAAGACTGAAAAGCAGGCAAAGCATCGGAGTGCACTTTAATGTGTTTGTGTGTGAGCACGTGAGTGCTTAGACTGGCAGTCTGAGGGATTTAGAGCTCCAGTAGCGTGCACGTGTGTGTGTGTGTGTGTGGTTGGAGGTGGAGAGCTGGATCGCAGCAGAGATAATATTTACCCACTACTTTCCACACCCACAGCCCCTAAAGACCCCTCCTCCACAATTATCTCCATTTTAAAGACGCCGGGGATTCACAAGTAAACACGACTTTCTTGCAACTAAATGTCTTTTCATTCCCATCTCTCCCGCTCTGTTCATTATCAAAGCACTGTGACTTATTGTGACAGACGTTATACTGTTGTCTTGGCCCTGAAAAACAGCTCTGAGAGTTGAAAGGGGAGTCACAGGCCCCGCCCCGCCCCTTTCCACACCCCATCCGTAACTTTCCACAGCAGAGCGGCCAGTGCACAAAGTGGTCAGAGAGAGAGAGAGAGAATGATAGCAGGTCAAACAGAAAATTAAAGACCCAAGAAAACTCCTGCTGATGAATAGTACGAATGCACAGACTTAAACTATTCAAAATCACTTTCAGTAACTGAAATAAAGCTGAAGTAAAATAAATATTAGATGATAAATTTAACTTAAAAAACTCAAAATGAAATTATAAATGTTGCTGTGGTACATAAGTTAAATAAGGTTAGATTGATGCACTACAATTGCTAAAACTGAAATAAAATAAACTTAAATAGAAATATAAGAAACATAAAAATAACAAAAGCATGTAACAAAATTACTCAACTAAAATTTAAACAATTTAAAATCTATTTAAACATCATTTAAAATCATATTTCATCTAAATTTAAAATGTAAACTGAAAATATAAAGAGCATGTTAAACAGAAAATTAAAGATGAATTGCCAAAGGAGGCCAAAGGAAACTCCCACTTATTAGTAGAATAGTATAAATGTGTGTGTGTGTGTGTGTGTGTGTGTGTGTGTGTGTGTGTGTGTGTGTGTGT